AGGATGTTTATTAACGAGCCGTTTATTTATGTCTTGTATTGTTGTGTGTAGATGCTCTATCCACATGTCCCAGCTTGGCTTGGGTCTGGTACTGACTTGGTTTAGGGTGTTTAAGAATTCACCGAGTAACGAATGTTGCAAACAAAAATACGTTACGATATGATTCAGTATGATGGTTAGCCTCTTTAAATATATATTATAATTTGGCAGACACGCCGAACATACTGCTTGCATCATATACTCGGGCAGTGTTTTTATACGTAGTAAAAACTTCGTGATGATCTGCACAATTATTGTTTGCACGAAATCGAAGAAAAACGTTTGGAAATTTCTTAGGCTTTTTAATCCGTGTTTTAGAGTCGTCACGTCGAACGCTTGTTTGAATAGATCATTGAAACGTTTCGTATTCACCTCCCAGAACTCGTTATTCATTAAGAATTTCGACAAGCCGTTCATGAACATTTCGTTATTGGGCACTTTGTTCAAGTACAATCGATAAATTACAAAATTCTGCTCGTTGAGCCTTTGGACACTGGATTTGGTTTTTGTTTTTTGTATTAATTCGTTGATCAAGGTAAAATTTGCATAGACCATTTTCCTAGTTTCTTCAAAACTACAATCTACTTTTTGCATTTCTGAGTAGGTTTTCAATGTAATACTGTGGTCGTACACATGGAATTTGGGGGCGGATGTCGGATTTTTCCCCGAGGCACAACGCTTAAACTTAGGAATTGTGTCGTCATAGTTTTTATTATAAAACGAATTATCGCACTGCAAGCTCATTGTGAACTCAAAAAACTTCAAATCGACCATTTTGTGGACAGCGTAAATACTTGTGATGATGTTCTTGTCTGTTAGCCGATTTTCCTCGTTGACCAAGTTTGAAAAAAACTCCTTCAATCTGTTTGTGTAGACATTGAACATCCACACGCCATCGATATTTTTAGTGTAACCGTGACTGTGTAACGTGTGCAGTAATGTGACGGCCGCATCACAATACAGCGATATTATATGGATTTTAACTCCATTCAAATGGTCATTGTAAAACTGACTTGTCAACTTCATGTGCCGCTGTATGTTAAAGGCGTATTCGCACAATTCTGCTTTCGTCGGGTTCATCAAAGTATGAGGTAAACTCCGGGCACAATCGCGGGAAACTCTATCTTGAGTAACTATTACTAGACACATAACTACAACTACCATAAACGAACTACACTTAACCATGATAGGTACTTGGAATTTCGTTTGATACTACGTTTAATTTCTGCCGTGTAGCGAGTTACACTATCGGTAATATTTTTTCAGTATATTCGACGACATCGAGAAACACATTAAAACCATTGGAGAAAATAATACAACAGCTGTTGTCTACAAACTGTACTGTCAAAATACAAACTTAAGCAAACGGCGTTTAATTTATTATTTATATAAAAAAAAAAGATTAAGTAAATAGTCTCATACTATAAGTTTCTATAGGCGTAATAGTTTGAAGGCGACGTAAGCACATAAAAAAAACGTGTGCATTATGAACAGCAGTATATTATCGTATGTTGCAATACAGTTTTATTCTAAATGGTTAAAAAATACTAATAAAAAAACTAATAATTAATAACTACAAGTAAAATCATTATTTTTGTAACCGTTTGATGGTTAATAATATCGTGATACTATTTTTATATATTTCTAGATGTAGTATATACTCTTTCAAATGGATAATGTATGAAGAGTATATATAAATACACCATAGATATCATATAGTATACAGTTTCATTAATTTACATAGATCATCGGGGAACAACGACGATGCCCGACAATATTATCCTGACCATATTAATCAGTTGTTAGTTAAAATTTAATTTCAAAGTGTTTAAACGTATTGTTGTAAATTTTCGTACAAGTCGACGGAAAATGTATGATTCAAATAGAAAAAACTGGAAAACTGTCAACGTGGACTTGAACAGAACTTTTTGAGAAAAATGTTATGAGTGTGTTGTTCCATTTGCTGATGTACACTACTGGATTTAAAATATTAGCTATTTACGCTGATAATACAAACAGTTCTTGGTATTCTACTAGTATAGCACAGATTAAATAATATATACATATATATAAGAAACACGTCATCCGTCATGATAGCAAATAACGGTAACAATTTAATTACAAATTACTTATAAAAGTATGTCACTAAAATCGGGTTACCAAAAGTGTAGTTAGGTACATGGCATTGACTATGTCTATGAGTTTTGTATTAGTTTGAATTCTTTATTTATAGGTAGGTAGGTACATTCATATTACTTTTATATGTAGGTATAATAACAAATCGTGGACGCGCGCGAAAAAGGGGTTAAGTCAACAACTATGAACTTTTCAGGAAATGGGAAATAAGATTTAGAAGAATATGTAAGATCAGGTATTAGGATAAGATAAATATTATTTGAATAGGATAATAAAACAACTTGTTTTGTACTTTCCTGGATAAATTATAGTTCATAAAAATTAATAACAAAGTAGCTGTCATACGTTTAAAAAAAAATTGACTTATTGAGTTGAACTCAATCATTTTTTTTTTTTTAATAAAAGTAATTTTAATAATAACAATATATTAATATTTTAATATAAATATCCTAATACATTTTAAAATTAATTGTAATAAAATAAAAACATATTGAATGTTAAAATAAAAATTTAAGAGAACAACACTTCGTATACGCCTGATGTATGTAGTCTTGGAAGTTCATCTTTTGGACTCCAAAAAAATTCTTCCAATTTTTTCACTGTTGAGAATACTGTCCTTACACTGTATTTGCTGTGCTATGCGTTCAGTTAATCCACTTAAGAACGGACTACCTAAAGCACAACAGTTATGTCATTGGATTGACCGAATGCATAGCACAGGTAGCAAGTAAATGCAGTGTAAGGACAGTATTCTCAACAGTGAAGAAATTGAAAAAAATTTTTGTTTTTAAAATTTTGAGACATAATTCGTTATTAGTACAAATCCATTTTACGATACTTTTTGTAAAAGTAGTTTTCGCACAATTTAAAACATTACTTTTATTGATAATAATTGTTGTTGTAAAAAGAAGTGATGTAATTTTTAAATATATTGAGGCCTCATCAATCGTAGAAGGTATTTACATACATATTGTTTATAATAAATACCTACGTACAATAATATATTTTATATTTTATAAAGTAAATTTGTTGAATACAATACAGGGTGATTCTTTTATCATGAACCAGTCAATATCTCACTGGGTTTTAATTAATAGTTGATGCTATTTTATTATAATGTTTTTATAATTTTTTACAATTTGTTATATTTATACCCCCCTCCCCACTAAGTTTTTTGTATAGAAACTTTTGAAACTTAAATGGTAACGTATATATTGTATAAACTTTTTAAATTGAGAATAATGTACTAAAAATTTTGACTGGTCGATAACCAGTTTCGGACAACTGTTTTTAAAGTTATAAGAGTTTAAAAGTTATGATGGGAGGGGAAGTGCGGTTGGGAAATGCGCGCAGATAAAAAAAAATACACTCCACCTTTCCTCTTGCCCTAAACTTGAATCAATGCAACATCCAAGATCATAAATGCAAGTAAAGCAATGAGACTGCATGTAAACGACGGAAAAACTAACAAGTCCATGGGGGCGTTTTGAGAATATCGCCAAATATAGATTCTATAGTAGTTGATAATTATAAATTTGAAAAAGTTGGTAGTTTCAATGGTATGCATATAGAAACGAATAGAACGGATCACGAGTGGAAATATATATTATTTCAGTATTATTAAACACCTGAGGTCTAAGAGAATCAAAGATACTACTATACCATAGTTACCTTTGGCCTGTAATAACATACGCTTGTGAAACCAGATCATTGACCTAAGGTGATAGCAGAAGATTTATCACGTTCGAAAGGAAAGAGTTACGAACCATATATGGGCCAATTTTTCACTCAGAATTACAGGCACATGAAAGAAGAAGTAATGAAAATATAAAGAGGCTATATAATAGCCCAAACATACTCTCCTTTATTAGAAAAAAATGGCATAAATGGTTCGGGCATACATGGAGAGTGGATGGGCAGCTAATTAAAAAGGTGTTAGTCGACTAAATAAATAATAAAAGACCCCTATGACGAACCAAAACACGATGGATTGACGTGGTTGCCAAAGATTTATTAATGATGGACCAGAATGCAACCTTACAGACAGCGTATCAGAGTGATAGATGGAGAGAGATTATGATGGCAGCGCTTTTGAAACCAGCCATATGACATTTTAAAAACTTGTTTGTTTTTTAAGTGATCACACGTATAACAGTGTATTACATGTTATATAAAACTGTTATTGATTATCAAATAAAGATTATAACTAATTCAAATTGTGTTGGGAAAATTTTGGTTGATTTCAAAATCACCAATCTGAAGAAAATATTTATTGTTTGTGAAAATTAAAAAAAATTGTTTTTAGCTGGTTTTGAAACTAGACGCCTCAATGAAATGTTATAATATAATAGTAATTGTTTTTATGCATAATAATATAATACAAAATATTGTAAATACTCAAACCTCAGCGCAAACTCACAACGAAAAAAACTGTATTGCAGTTTCATAGCTTGAAACACACTATAGTGCGATATTAATTCGTATATTTCTATACTCGAGAAAATTGTATTTATATACATATTTATCAATCATGGATAATCGTTGAAATCAATAAGAATTTATTATTTATAATTGAATATCATTTTTCAAATTATATAGGACTCGCGCGCTTTTTAATCTCGTTTACACTGGATGCCAGGCAATCGGTAACCGACAAAATGTATATAGCGTGGTTCTAGCCTAAAACAATTCAGAAAAAACTCATAGGTCACGTGCACCAAATGAAAATGATTATTTTTTAATTTTTAACCAAACATAAACGCACAATAAAAATGAATAATAATTATATAAATAACTTTAGAATGAATTGTAAAATGTGAGGTAGCTTATTGACGCTCGTCGTCGTCATCGTCGTGGTCGTCATCTTGCGAAACATATAAAGTCGAGCGCGGTTTTGCACTATTGTCGTTCAAATGATATTTATCAATGAATATCCGGTTCCAAAAAGACATGGCCTTATCGGATAGTTCGCTGTCGACGCTTTCTAAAATGTTGGCGACTAGCCTTAGAACCCGCGGCTGAAGGGACGACCACTGTTCGCTATCGCATAGACCGTACAAACTTTCGACCATGCGCAAGTACATGAAAGCTTTGTCATTATCCTGCTGCCAGAGCCGTAAGACAGCCACCAACATTTGCGGTACAAGGTCGTCGCCATTCCTATCCAACACTGCCAAGCAGTCCAACAGTTTTTCGTCAAACATTATTAGCGTATCGTGATTGACAAGGCGTAATAGTATCTTGGCGAACTGCAACAAATAGTTACAACAATTAAGCATTAATAAGGTCATCGAAACTGTTTAGTAAAAGTTTTTATTTTCTATGAAATAATATTTCTATGAAATATCTTTAAAAGTAATTCCTTATTATCCATCCATAACTGAACATCGACCTGTCAAAATGTTTAGCAAATCCTAATCTTAATTTAAAAAGTTAATAAATTATATACGTTAACTATTTAATTTAAAAGTTGATAGAGCTCTGGAAAGAAATAAAAAAGATTATAATTTGAATATTTTCTAGTATTTTAAAATAACATCAACAAAAGTGTCTCTACAAAGGAAAACTACAATAGTTACAATTTTTTTAGGAGAAAATTATTGTCTTTTGCTTAATGAATCATTCTGTACACCTACATTGTCATTAGTTTTACCTTTTTTAAAGATATTCTACTGACTTCAATGTTTTTAAACGCGTCCATATTATAACATACATTCGTACAGTAAACCACGCGTTCATGTGAAAATTCGTTTTTTTTTGGACTCGCGGTACAGGTATAAATTATAATGCTTACAATTAGCAAGTACTTACTTCGTCTAGCGCGGTGTCCGATATGGGAGTATAAATGACGGTGTCCCTAAGTACGTCCAGCACGAGAACGATACCGTTGTGCTGGTACGAGCTGCTGCAAGTGAAGTCTGTTAGCTCACTGATGGCCGATTGAAATATGTGTGGGCGCAAGAATGGGCAATCGTCGTACAAGTAGCCTATTGTGTCCCGTGCATTAATTCTTTCGGCGGTCAGTATGCTGTTCAATCTGCACACGAGCCCGTCCACGAACTTCCTGTCAAAATGCGGTTGAGCTTTTCGCTGGCGGAACCGGTCGAGCTTTAGGAATGCTTGAAATGCTCGATATACCAATCTGATGTGTTCGTACTCGGACACGATCTCAGCTTTGTGCTCTTCGGTCAATTCCGAGTAGGCAACCGAAGGCAGTGGACGGAACACGTTGGACGCGAACATGCTGACCAAGGATTCGTAAACGGCAGCCGAATATTCCACTGGAATTCGATTTTTTTTTTAAATTAAAAATAATTATTTATTTCGGTGTAATGAACCTCTCTCCCAGTCCAGAAACTCTACAACCTAAGTCACTATAATGCCGGGTCCACGCAGAGATTTAAAAAAAAAAAAAAACCTCAAATTGTTTCTGCATAGAAAAAATAAAACCGTAAAAAACAAACAAATTTATCCAGACTGAATTAACAAAAAAACCTCAACAAATCACGAACAAAATTAAAATACATTGGACTATGATTATGTTTTGTTTTCAACTAGCCATACTGAAAAGATGGTTTTAAAAATGTGTACGTCTTGTATATTAATTATTCATATTAGTACCTAGTCGTTAAGCCTGCTTTCAAAGTTCGATTTTATAGTGACTAGATTGAGACAAGTAAATGAGTGTGTTAACATTTGTACGGTTGACCTACGTAAACTACCCAACAGCCATATTTATAAAAAAACTCCACGTTACCAAGAAGGGACGGAAGCAAAACCATTATCAGTTATATGTATACAATAATACTCTCCATTTTATTATTACGAAGGAACTAATATTAAAATACTATTTATTGAAAAAAAAATATATTTTCGTAGAAACTATAACAAACTGACCTTCGTTAACTAAATTTGATGTCCATAACAGATGCAACGCCTCCAGTGAGTTAGTTTTCTCATCTCTGCGGCAAACGTTTGATGATTTAAACTGTGTACATTTTTTTAATAGCTGCAGTGCAACTGCGTTGTAGTCCATAACGTCGTCTATCATATTTACATTTGAAAAAACACCATATAAATAATGCGTTAAAAAATTAGAAAAATGTTTTATTTTTCAAACTAATATTATAACGGCCGCAGTGAGTTTTATGAAACCTACCACGGAAAATATCATTAGACCGTATTTTAAACAGCTGATAAATAAAATACATACATCTTATATTATTTATCGCATCCATGGCATTATTAAATTATTATTGATTTATTCCAATTACATATTCTTTGGGTTTTACGTTATAAAATAGTCATCATAATTATTATAATTGTTATTGATTAATTATTTAATCGGGAAATTAATTTATTTTATTCAATTTTAATGTAAAAATGTATTTAAATTAATTTTTTTTGTTATATAAACTTGCGTATTTTACATATTTTAAAATGATTAAATCAAGATTATTAAAAATGATCAAATTAACGTCCAATTAAATATTTTAAGACGTGATTAGAGAAAGGGCCTCAGAAGCTGAGAGTGGGCTTGGCCTTAACATTTTTGTTTTAGCCCTTCTTCAAACATTTTAAATAGTTTGAATTTTTGTAACATTGGTCGCTATCTTTCTTAATGAGTACAAATTGTTACAATTGCTCTTTACTAATCTAAGTATTAATATAGTTTATGAATAAATATTTAAATTATATTACTAACCATTATAACATAGGTAATATGAATATCGAATATCGAGTATAATGTACCAACTGGACTTAACTGGATGGCGATAGACTGATGAAATACAATAGATCAGATGAACCACAATTCAAGCATTTTCATTGAATTAATCATGTTACTTTAAAAAAACAGCCTTATTAAGCCATTTATATTTTTTTAAGCAGCCTGTGTTAAATTCTATTTATAATATGAATGTCTCTATAGTTTATAATTGTAATACATAGGTAACCTCCTTTTATATTTTAGTTTAAACTAGATTATTAGTGAATTCATACTTAACATAATATTTCTATAGCTAGTATCCACAAACTAACTTTGAAGTATTAATTTACAAATTTACAAATTGCCTTGCCTTGTTCACTAAAATTGTTCTATCCCATTTTTATTTTGCTTATTATAAAATCGACAACATAAGTAATGTTCATTATTATTAATATTATGTGTATGTATTTATTATAAGTAAAATTATTCTTAAATTACTTACTGGGTTTTTTTAAGGGAAAGCTTATACTTTTCAACTTACTATAAATCATCAAATAAGATTTTTTTCTAAATTGTTACTTACACCACGGTTTTAGGCATAGTTGATCCAAACCTAATTTACAGCTCACAAATATATCAAATGGACTCATAAATAAGTAGGTAATAACATTTTGTCTGCATCCCTACAAATCATTATAAACAGTTAGAATTTTTAATTTTGTGATATTCACTGTGTACACAATTATTTTAACGGGATAAAACATTATAATTTGACTGTAATTTGATGTCACTCTTTGGTAAGCGTGTCTGAGCTGCTAATACAGTGTGGTGTTGAATCAATGAGGCTGAGTAATTTTGTAACGAAATTCATATTTATGTCACGAATCGTAAATTAACACTGACTAGAAACTCTTTATGTGTAGGTATCCTATTTTTGTATCGTGTTTTTGATTGTAAGGACGAGCAAACAAATAGTTATACTGAAGTATTTACCTATAGCCGACATGGATAAGGAGCGAGTACTCTTAAAAACAAATAGCCGTGGAGAAAACTAGGGTGACTCAAAGGGTTTTGAAACCAGGAAAACAATTTAGATGACAAAATAGATAAATATGAAATAGGTGTTAAGAATAAAAATATAAATGGGTGTTGATGGCTTGTATGTATCATGTCATGCCTTATGTATAGTGTAGTTACTTTCTTCGTATTCTTTTTACACTTAATGCTGACCCTCCAACCACACCAATCAATATTTGTTTTTGATAAATCAAAAAACAAACAACAACAATAAGAATAACTATTACATAGCGTAAACATAATAGCTGAAACAACTTGTATACATTTAATACTTATTAATAATTATCATAATATTAATTAGGTAATCCGTAAAAGGCTTACGTGTGTTTGAAGTTTAAACTCGATTTATATGATTAAGTTTAGCTTTTTAAGCTTAATTTCGAAATTTATCTTTAAGACTTTTGTTATTGTTTTTTTTTTTACTATGTAAGACAAACATTTTAGTTATTAATATTTTGTAATCAATATTAATATAATTTAATTATATTATCATATAAGTTTATAATTAATAAATCTCAAAACGCGTGTTCTAGTTAGCAGGCAAAATGTATTACATATTAGTTATTCACCACATCAATATGATACTAATATGATTATTAAATTATTTTTTTAAAAATGTTTAGTTTAAGATGTTTATTTTTCTTGAATAATCAAAGTATTATAACAGTTAGTTGAACAAAATTATACACTGCAGAGCTTAAACTATATTTAACTTACGATTCGTATAGATAATGATAAATAAACATAATTCTAACATATTATATTCTGTAATATTTTCTATATTAAAGACTAAAAACACTTTTGTGATTGTATTCACAATACAAATTTACTCCTACACGAAAACCCCGGCAATACATCTTACTTACATGACAATAAGTAATAACGATTCATTGAAAATATGAAAATGAATACTTTTTTTATTTATTTGAATGATTTTTATTATTATTAGCATTTAAATTTAATACTAAAGTAATACAAAATTATATTAAAATATTAATAAATAGATGTAAGAGATACTTTCCTTTAAAAGATTTACGAAAAATTTAAAAGGAATTGTGTATATTTCTTAATTGAAATGTCTCTTCGAACTAGCTATTCCGACACGGGAGTGCCTACTTATTTTGTTAGGAATATATTATGACGATGTTTTCCAAAAAGTTTAATTTCATATAAGTACATCATAGGCTAGGTGGTTGTATCTTATTTGCAAAAAAAAAATGTTATACATGTTTGTCTTATAGTATTATTAATATGACTAAAATTAAGTAAACGACACTATAAAAAATAACAATCAATTTTTAATAAAATTTTTTATCAACCCTTGATAAACCGTTTTATTGTAACGAAAAAAAATTATCAGTTCAATAAAAACAATTATTGCCTTAATCAGAATTTTGTTAAATTGATAAACAAACAAATGTTTGATAAATTTATTATTGATACAATGAATTTTTCGATTGCCGCGAAAAAATATTTGTTATAACAACAATTCATTATCATGATGATAAATCATTTATAAGGTCAATAGCAATAAAGTTTTTATCAAATTAATATGGTTTTTTATTGAATATCATCATCATTTAACTTAACGGGCCATGAAGGCCCAACGCTGCCATCATGAGCAATTCTTGACGAATTCGCTTCCGGGACGGGTCGTCAATCCGTCGCCGGAGAGGGGGATGGCGGTTTCTTTTTACCGGACGATTGCTCGCCCAGCAAACGGAGCGCCTGTGACCGAGTGTCGAACCGGCGACAGTGAGCGCTAACACACTGCCGCCTTATCCACTCGGCCACTCCTCCTCCTTTTTATTGAATATAACGTTGTTTTTTTTTTTTGGGGTAAACAGTGCCCGAAAATAACATAACTTTTCCTTAAAATTATATTGTTACAACGCGGTGGTAAAACAAAGTAAACGTTTACAAAAAAATTGTATTATCATTGTTGTGACTACCCCACACAACCAATTATTCAGTTTGTTTTAGATGGGCTCTAGTACCTAATAGTGATCTCGATATGCTGGATAATGGATTAATATACACTTGATACTATCTCAGTAAAAACACCAACGCATGTAAGGGCGACCACGAGCTATCACTTATTTCATTGTCAGGGCTTGGAAATAGGAATGGGCCGAGGCAAACGTCTCTAATAGATCCTTAGTACATGTATAGTGATCTAATTTGTACATTTCATCATAATAATATATTTGCTTAATTTACAAAATAAACAAAAAGTATGTGAATACAGGTGATCCATTAACGTAAGACACTCATTTTGCCTGAAAATAATTACAACTTAGTTCTTTATGGAGATAACTAAACTTAGGCTATTTTATGATATTGGACAAAGTTAAAAAATTTTTTTTTTTTAGTAAATTCTAGAACTCTATCAAAATTGTATGATGTTTTATGTAGAAAAAAACAATATAATAACTTGTATACCTGTGTATAACTGTTTAAAAGTAATTAAATGGAAAGAAATTTATTTCGTGATTCGCTTAAGTCGTGGTTGATTAACGATACAAATATTGTGTAATTCTTATAAAAGATATGATTTTAAACAAAATACCACTAAATAATAATAATGCGTTAAAAAACAACAAAATCCGAAACTCGTACGTATTTTTTTTCCTTATGAAACGGATCGGCGTACAGACAAGTAAAAAATTATTTAAATAATAAGAAATAGATAATAATTTGTGTCGTGTCGAGTGACGAGTTCGTCTTTTGTCGTAGGTACCGTAGCAATTTTATACATATTTTCTTCTTGATAAAATAATTTCACCATAATAATTTTTCTAGAGAATAGAAATGTAGACCGCTCATGTTGCCCGGCCGTTTAGGTACACTTACTTAAAGCAAAATAAAAGTTTTTGCATGAGGGCAAGTTTTTACTATATATACATACATATTTACAGATGCGACTTCGAGAAAACGTATACATTTATACTTCATATTACTCACAGGAACCAATAATGTCGATGCGGTCTCATGATGATTGAAACGTCGCAACGTCATTTGTGTACATATAATATATATATATATATATATATATATAAACCATCCTACTCTTAGTCACATAATATGAACATCATATAGAAATTGCGGTTACCGCGGCGAGCAATAGATTACTTTTCGCGTTCGCATATTGCCAATTTACCTCGCGCAGAGAAAAAAAAATCCTTCCTTGCCGGTCAAAGTAAACCTTTTGAAAGTCGTATATATTAGAACATATTACCTCTATACGATTCTGCTACAGAAAAAGA